GTGTGTGTCGTGTGTGTGTGTGTGTGTGTGTGTGTGTGTGTGTGTGTGTGTGTGTGTGTGTGTGTGTGTGTGTGTGTGTGTGTGTGTGTGTGTGTGTGTGTGTGTGTGTGCGACCGAGCTACAACGCACCCGGCCTGTTGTTTCATGTTGTATCTCTCCACGTTACACACGAATTTTTGCGCAAACGCAGTTGAATGTGCGAACTCCCTTTCGGTTCGCATCGACCATTATCGGTTTCGTCGTCGTCGTCGACGAATATGGCAGCATAGAGCCCTGTCAAAATCAATAACCGTAGAAGATGAGGGTGCGCAGCTCGGTGGAGGTGTTGTATGTTTACTAACCTGCTCGTACTGATTGGTATTGATTCTAATCGTAGGAGCGCTATGCAGACACTCACAATCGCCCGCCGTGGATGTCAGGTGTCGATCTTGCTTGAATAATTATGCAGCCAAGAGGATATCACCGGGAACAGTTCAATCTGGGTCATTCAATAGATAAAGGCGCGCAAAGAAAGGCGATATTTATAGTATATCAAATATGTTAGCATTATCAACGTATCGCATCTTGCTAAAATAGCTATACACGAATGGCACGACCTACAAATACACTCGCATGTATGCATGTATACACTCACATGCATACACAGCTAACGCCGATAACTTTAATTACATTGTATGAATGCTATATCAAGTACAAATAGACAGCTACGTCTACACTTAGAGCGGTTTCCCGCTTGACTCAATTAAACTGTTTTGGCGTCGTCTGCATGCCTATACACACGCATCTCGCACTCGAATCTCTCCAGATAGATGCATTGCAGCAGTGTAGGTCGCGCATTTTCGCATTTCTCCTTCCGCGTGCGGAACTCGAGATCTGATCAAATACGCGCCGCGTGTGTATCTAGTATTTGCCGAACATGGAGGAATGAATGACATTACTCGCTATCAAATCAGAGAAGAGAAATTGCTCGGGCGCGCGCTAGCTCGTTCGCGTACGTACGGCACATCGGCGGCAGTCACCCTATCCATCGACAGACGGTGTCTGGCAGAAGCCAATTAGTTAATGCTGTCAGGTGAGCCGTCAATAATTTATTGTTCATTAATAAATGATGTTGATGAGGTTCCCATCGCGCGCAGGTCAAAGACGGTTCCAAGCGAAGCAGCTTATCGTGGTGTTACTGTACGACTGCTCGCAGCAGCACGTATAGCGGTGATAGCTTTAGCGTATATGGTGAGGTGCTAAGCAGACGCCCGCAGCGAGCGCCTTGATTCAGCCGTGATGACGTCATCGGCGACGTCTAAAGACGCCGCTGCTGCTCGGTGACATGACGTCACACGCGACGCAGTGAATATAGTGTGCACGCCCCGCGACGCGCATCTGCTAAATGCGCACGCGCGGGAGGAGGGAGGGAGGACGAGGGGGAGGGAAGCGGGGGAAGTAGGAGGAAAGAGGGAGAGGCGGAGGAAGGAGGAGGAGGAGGGAGGAGGGAGTGCGTGAGGCGAGAGGGAACCTAACCCGCGCCGAGCGTGTTTGCTCACACGTCAGAATTCCCGTGTAGCATGCTAGGTATTCCCCCTCATGGCAAACGCCCCCCCCCCCATACGTTAGATATGGGCAGTAAAGGTCAAATCCTCACGCGCATGCGTCACGCGCCATGCGCCCTTCTGGACACGCACATGCCCATGCGCAATATATAAGGGGGACATTTGCTAATGGCGAGAGGGTGTCTACGATGCTACGCCGGCGTCATCTTGTCTATATCTGGCGTTTCGGATAATGAGTGCCAATGTCCGTCGATTGAGCGCTGTCAGTGCAGACGTCGGGTGCGACGGCACTGCATGACGGTCTATATTAAACCTGATAAATTATCCGACCTGCAGACGTGTTTCATTTAAATTCAATTCACTGGGCGAATTAATGCTCGCGCCGCTATATAGTCGCTAATAACTCATCGTCGCTTCTGCATCATTCATCGCGCCGCGTTATCTCTCCGCTTTTATGGATGACTCCGACAAATTAAAAATCTTAATTAATCATAACTGGCAGCGGCACGCGGCGACCGTTCGACGACTGCCCGAAGACATCGCTGGTAGCTGTGTCGCGACAACGTTTGCGGGCCAACGGCTTTCGTCACCTAGAAGGAGCTTACTCGGGAGAATTATTAGATATGCAGCTGTCGCGATCAGCGAACGCGCGGCGCTTTTTCGTGACGAAGTGAGGGCGAAAGCTTTTAGCTAGACTTCGGAGAGCGGTCTGTCAAAGGTCCCGAAAATGCTCCAGCGCCGCCTACGCGCGAAACCGGAGACATTTAACGATCGAGGTGGACCAGAGACCGCTAGTGGCAGGCATGCTTTAACAGCTATGGGGTAGGGGACGTGGCACGGACGGTCCCTTACCATGTTAAGAAGAACACCACAGGCGAGAAAGCGTGTCGTTGTGAGACGCTGTCCCGCGAGGGTCAGAGAAAAAATGAGGGAAGACCCGACATTAAAAGTTTACGTTTCTTCTATTGCTTTACGCTTCCTTTCGTGTTGATGGAGGATGAACGAGAGTGGGTATGAACGACGTAAGCTCGGTAATGTTTTATCTCACTGCTTCGTTGAGGCTTTAGCTATTGAACGATCAGCGTACCGGCGAGACAGCGCAGCGGAAAACGTTCGATATTTCATAGCCGGTTATTGAAAAGCAAACCACGTTCTGTGTAAATATAAACATTAGCGCCAAATTGAAGTTGCCTGCGCTGCCTACAATCGCACCACCGTGTAGCTCTACCCTCACATAACATTTGATCGTCTTACTGTGGAGCTGTCCAAGACTGCAACGCCAGCTGGTCTCGCCACATGTTGTCCTCTGTAGAGTTCTCGCCACACGTTGTCCTCTGTAGAGTTCTCCCCGCAGGTTGTCCTCTGTAGAGTTCTCGCCACATGTTGTCTTCTGTAGAGTTCTCGCCGCAGGTTGTCTTCTGTAGAGTTCTCGCCGCAGGTTGTCTTCTGTAGAGTTCTCGCCGCAGGTTGTCCTCTGTAGAGTTCTCGCCGCAGGTTGTCTTCTGTAGAGTTCTCGCCGCAGGTTGTCCTTTGTAGAGTTCTCGCCGCAGGTTGTCCTCTGTAGAGTTCTCGCCACATGTTGTCCTCTGTAGAGTTCTCTCCGTGGGGTAATTGTCCGGGGGTAAATGTCCGGGGGGGGATAAATGTCTGCGGGGTGATTGTCTGAGGGGTAAATATCCGGGAGGTAATTGTCCGAGGGGTAATTGTCCGAGCGGTGATTATCCGGGGGGTGATTGTCCAGGGGTAAATGTCCGGGGGATAAATGTCCGGGGGGTAATTGTCCAGGGGGTAATCGTTTGGGGGTAATTGTCCGGGGGTGATTGTCCAGGCGGTGATTGTCCGGGGGGTGATTGTCCGGGGGATAAATGTACAGGCGTTGATTGTCCGGGCGGTGATTGTCCGGGGGGTGATTGTCCCGGGGGGTGATTGTCCGGGGGGTGATTGTCCAGGGGTGATTGTCCAGGGGGTCATTGTTTGGGGGTAATTGTCCGGGGGTGATTCTCCGGGCAGTGATTGTCCGGGGGGTGATTGTCCGGGGGTGATTGTCCGGGGGGTAATTGTCCGGGAGGGTGATTGTCCGGGCGGTGATTGTCCGGGGGGTGATTGTCCGGGGGTGATTGTCTGGGGGGTAATTGTCCGGGGGTGATTGTCCGGGCGGTGATTGTCCGGGGGGTGATTGTCCAGGGGTAAATGTCCGGGGGATAAATGTACAGGTGGTGATTGTCCGGGCGGTGATTGTCCGGGGGTGATTGTCCGGGCGGTGATTGTCCGGGGGGTGATTGTCTGGGGGGTGATTGTCCGGGCGGTGATTGTCCGGGGGTAAATGTCCAGGGGATAAATGTCCGGCGGTGATTGTCCGGGCGGTGATTGTCCGGGGGGTGATTGTCTAGGGGGTGATTGTCCGAGCGGTGATTGTCCAGGGGTGATTGTCCGGGTGGTAATTTTTGGGGGTAATTGTCCGGGGGGTGATTGTCCGAGGGGTAAATGTCCGGGGGGTGATTGTCCGGGCGGTGATTGTCCGGGAGGGTGATTGTCCGGGCGGTGATTGTCCGGGGGGTGATTGTCCGGAGGGGTGATTGTCCGGGGGGTAATTGTCCGGGGGGTGATTGTCCAGGGGTGATTGTCCGGGGGGTATTAATTTTGTCCTGATACCGAGATTAATTACTGAGCGCAATTAATTAAGACCGTACATGCACGCCTAGTGTCTCTAGAGTTTCCATACTGCAACGTGAACGAGCGAGCTAAATGCGCGAAGCTATAGACTAGTTGAATCAAATATCGACTGTTTCTTCTGCTGCTTCAGTAAAATGTCGGTTTCTTTCTTCCCTCTTCACCTGCGGCTGTAATATTACGGTAAACCAACAGCGCGTCGTGCAGACCTAGCTCCTGCCCACGCTGCACGCAGCGGCCATATGAGGATGTTAGTCGGAGAAATTGCCTGGTTTACGTTCCGGCATTCGTCGAAGAACCTTGTTACGGTCGCAATTGTATATATATATTTGTGTGAGTTCGTGCGTGCGTGCGGGTGTGGGTGTTCGTGTGGGTGCGCGTGCGGGTGTGGGTGTACGTGTGCGTGCGCGTATGAGTGAGCGTGTATGTCTAACTGTGCGTGTGCGTGTGCGTGTGCGTGTGCGTGTGCGTGTGCGTGTGCGTGTGCGTGTGCGTGAGCGTGTATGTCTAAGTGTACGTGGGAGTGAACTCGGTCTCAACGCAGCCGTCTCTCTCTATATCCCTCTCCCCCTCTCTCTCATTACGATGGTGATTGCGGCCCGCTCTTGCTGATTATCAGAGCCGGCCCATTCCAATTTCAACTGTTTACGCCGAGCAGCGAGTTTGAAGCTTTTATCACGAGTTGTCCTTGCGGCTTCCTCCTCAGCGCATCCTTCTTCGAGGCGCGTCTGGTAATTCAAGGTCGAACTCAGGGCAGGCCGAGGCAGGTGGGCGCTCGCCTGAACCCCGCGGGCCCACCGCACGCGACCTTTCTGTTAAAACGGCATCTGTAGAGTTTGAAATAATGAACATCGACGTTATTCAGCCATTATACATTCATTATTCGTAGGTTAGGATAGATTGTCTCGAGGGCTTCCTATTCAGTTTAGGTCCCCGGGGTCTCGCTTTGTCTACATGCGGATTTCAATCATCTGAAAATGCTAAAATCTATAAGCTTACTGCCAATGGCCGCAACGGCAACGGCTAATAAGGGGGATCTTGACGTTGCGCGACCGAAATACAGAATATACATATTGATTTAGAGTGCGAGGCGTTGCCTTCTGGTCGCGACTGCACCGGTAAAGGTCAAACGTATTATAAGTAAGCATCGCGTAGCATTCTGCTCTTCTTGCCGTAAGCACGAAACAACGACGCCCGCATATCCGTCGTGTACGTATTCGCCGACGCGCTTTGGATTTCACGTTATGTGCGTTTATACGAATCGTTATCCAGTGAGGCGAGTTAGAATTATATTACGCCTGTAGTTTCGCGATCGGTTTTACGGGAGAGATGATGGCCCGTGCCATGCCACAACATTAGTTCACGTGCACGCGTGTATCCGTGGGGAATGCGTGAGAAGGCTCGGCTTGCTGTGCTGTGCGTGGTCAGTTGAAATTCAGGCACTGTCAGCATCTTTAGAACAAGCTGAAAATTGGCATCGCATGACATTTTTCTGACGTGTATAGCCGTAGGCGGTTGGAAACTGTAGCGTGAATGCGAAATGCCGCGGTTGCATTTTAAAGTTCATTGTAAATCCGTTTCGTTTCCGTGCATGGCCACCGTTGCTGCTGCGTTTATAACACGGCAGATGATTTTTTAGCAGAACGATCAAAATCGAGGCATAGTTGCTGTTTCTTGACATGCGGCGTGCGATGCATTGCGTGTGTATATATGCGAGGCATTATCCTGCTAAACCAGCTGAAAAAGTATGATAGATGTCTCTGCGAGTAATCGCTTATTCTTCGTTGCGCACCGGTAGCGGAAGGGACGGCATGTGGGCATACGCGGTAGGTTCACAGTTGTCCGTATAATCCTATTTCTTCGCGCCTAATCCGAGCCTGTCTCCTAATCTTACTGACCGTCTTCGCTTAGCTTGGCCGTATCGACCAACCCTTCACGCTGCCACGGCTGTCTATACTCTGGAAAATAATTGCCGTTGGTTTTGTGACGAAACTGTGTGTGTTGTTAAAGTTGGTGTAAAGGCGAGAATTGATCAGTTGGCCGAGCTAGCGGAAATCTATTTCATTACTGGCAGAAGTCATTACTTAGGCCATTACGCGGAATAACAGCGAACAGCTGTCTTAGCCAATATCGTTACTTACGACGTCCGACGTTCATTGTTCCGTATAACAAAAAACACGCAAAATAATAGTAAGGAAACACGCACGCTGGCGTATCATTTCCAGGAATTCATTCTGGTCCAACTGACGTAAACAGTTTCTACGTCAATAACAATACCATTTGACTGCTTGCGTCCGATAGAGAACAGAATAAAATAGATAATTAATCAATATATCCACACAGTGGGATTATCGATCTGATGTTTGTCGAAGCCAAATCAATACGAGCGTAATGAGTGCTGATGACGGATATCTTGATGTTTATTGAGCACAATTTGTTATCGCATATATTTAAGTGTCCATAGATACAGTAGAGGTTGAAATGAAATATAATGGTGGTTGAAGTTTACGTACATGTCGAAATCACGAATAGAATGTCAGGTGCAAGGGGGCAAAGTTAACAAAATTCGCGTCATCTGTATAATAAGGGTTTGTTGCTGAGCAGTATTATACATATACATACAATCGGAGTGTACCCGTAATTGTATGCATTTCTCTACATACAATGGGTGGACGCAGAGGGTTTGTAGCGATTTATGCAAAAACTACCTTGCACAGAAACCGCTTCAGAACCGATTAAACCGCGTTTACAGTTTCATCAAATGAAAAGAGCGTGGACAGTAGTATGCAAATTTAAATTGATTCTGCGCGCAGACAGCATAACGTTCGGCTTCATGCATATGCAAATGAGATTCCTGCTTTAAATGTTATGAGAGTAAAATAGGTTCATGACAAAATATTCATAGGACAAATAAATTGGATTTGGCCCGACACCAGCTGCATATTTTACAATAATCTAACTGCTCGTTTCAGTTAAAATTGTGATGCAAATTGCGTTGCATCTTACGATGTAAGCTAACAAGCCTCACGGGATAGGATTATAGATGCTTGCACAGTCTACATCCACCGTCTCTTTCTATCCTTTTCTAGTTTATGCTTCTTCCTGAAGTACGTGGTCTGATAAGTGCCAAAGACTTAGAGAAGTTCGATTCGCTAGTCCTGAAAAAAGAGATAAAGGCAGTCAAGGTAAGTGAGTCTACGCTTATGTCGAAATGGATATAGGTCTCGTTATGGACCTTTTGTAAACATTAAACATGACTAGACTCGCCCTAGTCAGGATTTGGTAGGAGACAACGGTATAATCCTCTGTGCCGAAACTAGAGAGAACGTATATTCGTTGACTTGCGTTTTCCTACACAGGATTTGAAGATAGAATATCGATAATCGAACATTTAAGGTATAATTAGAGCTCGTAATTTAGTTACACCCTGAAAATCATTACGATATTATCAGGAAATAACGCTGGAAGTTGGTTTGGCATTTGGAGAATTACAGTCAGACTCTAATAATTGCTCTTTACGTACTCTGGAGATCTTACTCTACATATATCATGCTGAGAAACTTTGATCCACAGAATGCCGCTGGATAAGTGGGGCGATGGAGATTTATGCATCAGTAACGGCTGGGAATCACGCCAGTCTTTGAACAGTGAACACACAGATTCACTGCTGGTTGCTCGTCGTTATAACTGTTGAGTGTGGGGGCTCAAATGGCCGAATGCCATAGCATGGGGAACCCCCAGAGTTAGTGATTATCATGTCCACAGCCTCTAGTTAAGAATTTAATGGCCACTGGGGCCCCATAGTCGAGTGTTGCCTCGTATCATTACCTTCCCACTCTTCAGTCGAAACCATCGGAGTCGAGATTTGAAGTCGGCGTCACTTGAAGTCCAATCGACTGATTGTCGACGATTCGGCAGTAAGACGGCGATGTTTGCTATCTCCTCTACGGCTCGCCATCTTGCTGCGTCATAACCCGAATCGCCGCGCTTAGTTAACGCTCGCAAAAGTGGCGCTGGCGTCGCCCGCCATTTTCCGTCGACTACCGATCATTTTGCGACCGATATTTCAGGCCGCTAAACGACAGGCTGAGAAGCAGAAGCCCGCGAAATCGCCGCTTTCGACTTCGCTGAACGGCCAGTCGCAGTCGCAGCAGCAGCTGCAGCTTACCTCCGTCGCGACGACGAATGCTCAACTGTTGAATTCTCAAGCAGCCATCGGCGGAGAGGTCCGCGTGACGCAGGCGCACCGCAAGCACCGCTACTCGACATCGACAGATGGCGCCGCGAGCGCGGCGGCGACGACGACGACGCATCAGAGCGCCGCCGACGGCTCGATATTGCAGACGACGAGCGTCGTGTGGACGACGCTGACGCACAACCACGCGACGACGCCGTTCACGCCGGCGCAGACACTGAAGCAGCAGCAGCAGCAGACGGCTGACGTGCTGTCGCAGCAGCAGACGCGCATGTTGACGGGAACGACCGCCGGCGGCGCGGCGGCGATCCAGGTGACGGCGTCGCATCAGAACCACGCATCGGCGTCGCCGCTGCGCGACGCCTCGTCGGCCGGCGCGGCGACGACGGCCCAGCGAAACTCAGGACATACTGTGGTGCAACCTCAGCCAACTATGCAACGGAGCGGCCGACCAGACACGCAGGATCGCGTGCAGTTGTCGCCAGGGGGCACCATCGTGCTTCCGTTCGGTACTCCCGTCGTGCGCCCGAAGGTGCCAGCAAATAAATCGGCATCGGCATCAGCGTCGGCGAGGGACACGCCGCCGTGGTATGTCGACAGCAAACTTCAGTGGCACAGTGGCGCCAATGTGCACCTGTACGGCGGCAGAGAGACGACGACGGCAGCACAGGTGGAGCCACTGCTGCTGCGACGCGGTTACTCCGAGCGTCGGCCAAAGATGGGCTTCGCAGATCTGAGTTCCTTTCACGATCTATATCGGACGACCAGCGGCCGACGGCCGAGAGTAAGTAGCAAGGCGCTTGATGTAGGGGAAGGGGGAGGAACACTCACTCTGAGCAGTGAGTCCCGCGTGCATACCCCACTACCCGCACCCCAACCTGTCACGGTCACGCGTGGATATTGAGAAGCATGCGTACTGTTATTAAGACGTCCGAGTCGCCCACAAGCGCCTGTCACATCCGCATGTTTTATATACAAACTTCGTCATTTTTACACAGCTGCATAATTTATTAGCGGCGCTGCTAAAGTAATTGGCCTCAATTTAATGTCATAATTCGGTTTTTACTCGGAGAAAAAAAGCAATTAAATTCATTGCGGCCAGTAACTCTCATGGGAGAGACTGCGGCTCCTCTGCGGTCGCCTTCTCTCTCTCTCGCGCTCACTCGCGTACCTTGCCTCTCATCTCTCATTTAGTAGCATTGCATTCCGCAGAGCAGCAGTGACTCCATGGCTCTGCGAGACGCCATATTGCAGATTGATACGAGCACGCGACCGAGCCTGACTGACTACTTGCAGGTAGGTGTTACCTCTCAGACTATGCGCATGGACTCGCGAGTGCCCGTAAAAATGCCGCGTGTCGAACCTTTTTTTTCATCCGGCGAACCTTCTCTCACTTAAGCAGATTTGTTCGAATCTCTCACTGCGTCGTGCAAAGCGAAGTAATTCCTCTGATTAAAGTTGTTTGCAAACAGGTTGCGCCGATGAATTATTGAACACGCCAGGTGAATTTATTTATTAGGTTGGGGTTGGGGGAGCCATGTTTCAGATGTCAACTGGAAATAGAGATCTGATGGATTACATTTACATTAAAGTTCTTATGCGCTGCGCATATTTCAGTCTAATCCGGTAATTGTATTAGGCTTTAAATGCGGCATTGAAGGTTCGGGAAAGAGACAGGAAGACAAACAGACAGAAAGAAAGAGAGAAATAGAGAAAGAGCGAGAGAGAGAGAGAGAGAGAGAGAGAGAGACTGATGAAATTTGCATCTCCGGAATTGCTTGCATTTACAAGCGAGAAAGCTGCGCGCTCGTGCGGCTATAGCTTCTTCACGAATCTCCTCCGCAGGACTGCGACATGACGACGAGTCTACATCGCATGCAGAGCCAGCCGAGCGGACCACCGCTGCCGCTGCAGCAGCACAGCCTGCCGCACGCCGCCAACCTACGCAGCTACGGTGATGACTCGTCCTCTCTCGATGCGATCATGTACGACCCGCTCGTTCACAGGTTAGTGTCGCTCTTGAAATCAGAGCAGCATGCATCTGCCCATAGGAGGCTAGGTAGAGAACACATCAACATAGGAGGCGAGGTAGAGAACACATAGAAATAAGAGGCGAGGTAGAGAATAATAGACATAGTAGGCGAAGTAGAGAATAATAGACATAGTAGGCGAGGTAGAGAATAATAGACATAGTAGGCGAGGTAGAGAATAATAGACATAGGAGGCGAAGTAGAGAATAATAGACATAGTAGGCGAGGTAGAGAATAATAGACATAGGAGGCGAAGTAGAGAATAATAGACATAGTAGGCGAGGTAGAGAATAATAGACATAGTAGGCGAGGTAGAGAATAATAGACATAGGAGGCGAAGTAGAGAACACATAGAAATAAGAGGCGAGGTAGAGAATAATAGACATAGTAGGCGAGGTAGAGAATAATAGACATAGGAGGCGAAGTAGAGAACA